ATATACATACACACCTTACATTACATTACACTACATTTGTGTATGTATGCATGTATATATATATATATGCATGCACGATGCATTTTCAGCCTCAACTTGACAGCGATCCTCCATTTTTGGCACTCGTACTGTAGGTCAGAGCGTGAGCGCATTTAAGCTGTAAATCCGTAAGAACTTCGCCGGACGAGGATGACTACGCACATGCATGCAAGATTGCGCAACCCAATACCTATACAATATTAGTCCGCACGCAGCTCCTACAAACTGTTAATCATTGCCGATGCACCATTCCAAGCAACTCCATGAGGCATTTGAGGTGACATGCCGTCACCATCGGGATGTTTCCCAGGGTCCCACGGGACAGGTTGGAGCGGGAACCCTGTTTGGTGACGCGCTCACCCTTGGTGGACGGCTGGCTCCTCCGCCTGGCCTTCGACGGAGAGATTCCCAGGCTGGGAAGGTAGGGGAAGATTCCTCCTTCGACGGAGAGCCCCAGGTGGAAGTGAATGCGAAGGTCCAATTTCCACCGGCTGACCTTGCCAGTTCGACAAGTGAGTACAGCACACCTCCCCCGAGAAACGACAAGTGCGGGTTCGCAGGTACTTGCGACGCAGCAGCGCAGTGCAGCGCTTTGAAGTGGAGCCACTGCTCGCAGATTTCGTGGGACTGACCCGATTCCTGGAGGAGAGCTGGAAACGACCGGTTTGAGCTTGGACAACGGGCTTGAGTTTGGAGCAAGTCATGACCTGGATGTGCGCAACATGTTCGGAGAGACATTCTTGCAGCGCTGGCACTTCTCGGGACTCTCAGGATGAATGTGCCATTTCTTATTTTGTTTGAGAAAGTGTGCAGCTCACCCATTTAGTTGTGTAGTATGTGTGAAAGCAATGCATTCGTTCTCGGCATGTGCACCATGTAAAGTTGGAACCATTTGTTTGGACGCCATATAGGCACAAGAGTCCCCGTATGTTGTGAAAAGGTGCGCTGTTGTCATGGCATGTCGTATCGGCCGCTGAAGCACTTTGAGATTGGTGACGCGGAGCTGACTGGGACGATCCAGGATGAGTGATAGATGGAGGCCGGCCTGGCGACCTAATGGTTTGGGCATGACCACCACCTTCGACGAGAGGCGCGCTGCTCCTGGGAGTGATCGGCAGGGTTCCTGGACTACCCCCTCCCATTCTCATTCACGTTGGGAATGGAATGACCAGGATTGGGAGGAGGAGCTTCCGGAGGGCGATCCGTGGGGCAATGGCGACCCCTGGTCGGGAGGTGGGGGCACGACGGACGGCTGGCTGACTGACTCGCAAATGCGGGAGTTCAACACGGCTAGAATCCCAAACGCCACAGCCTTTGAGGACGGACGCTGGGTGGGGGACAAGGCAAGCTGCATATGGGGGTTTCGATGAATACCATGAAGGTGAACGTGATCGCAACAAACCCTCGGAGAAGCTGCGGTGCCCTCCTTCGATGGCGAGAGCTCCTCAGAGGCTGATTTGGGCAGCCAGGAGCTATGTGAGAAAGGTGCAGGTTTGGTTGAGGTGCACGAAGATGGCTCCCAATCGGAGGGCCTTAGCTTTGTACAATGAGCTCACAGGCCGTGCATGGATCTACGCCGAGGAGTTGGACGTCGATCGCCTGGCGACAGATGGTGGCGTGTCCTACTACCTCGAATGGATTCAGACCAGGTTCATGGAGGTCGAGATCACGAAGGTGTCGAACATGATGGGCGACCTCTTCAGAAGATGCCGGAGGAGGTCTGACCAGTCCATCAGAGACTTCAACGTGGAGTTTGAAAGGTTGGTGTTGAGGCTTCGCGACATCCATTGTGAGCTTCCGGCCATGGTCAAGGGATGGCTATACCTGGACAAGCTGCGCCTCACGGAGCATGAAGAACTCTCCCTCCTGTCCACCAGTTCGATGCTGCCTAGGCAGCACTCCTACAAGACAGGTCATTGAGGCGACCTGCTGCTGGGAATGAGACATCCACGTGGAAGGGCAGGGGAACTTGGAGACAGCAGAAGCATTCGGTCCACATGACCAACAATGAGGAGGAGCGTTCAAGCGAAGAAGATTCGCTTGGCGATGACGAGGAGGGTCTGGTTTCCGAGGACCTTGCAGCCGAGGAGTACCAGGCCTACATGACCTACCAGAACGCCAAGTCCAAGTACAAGGAAGCGCTCAAAGGGCGTGGAGCTGATATGGAGGAGATCAAAAAGAGGTCAGCCGAACGTCTGAAGCTGGCCAAGGAGAGATCTTATTGCTCTGCCTGCAAACGCAAAGGTCATTGGCATAAAGATCCTGAATGCCCCTTGAGGAGCAAAAGTGCTGGCAGCCATGAGGCCAACGTCACCGTGCGCTCGGCCCAAATGTGCGACGTCGTGCATGATTGCTATGTCACGGCCAAGAACGACACGGTGGACGACGATTACCTCAAGGGCAAGTTGCTGGCCATTGTGGACACTGCGTGCACAAAGGCTGTAGCAGGGCATGACTGGTTCGAGCAGTACAGCGACATGAACGAGGGCTTGAACTTTGAGCCGCCTCAGATCTATGAGCATGAAGAGTTTTTCCGTTTTGGAGCCTCCAGGGTTTTCACCTCGCACTTTGGCATCGCAGCCTGGTTTGCCGTAGAAGGCCAATGGTTTTGTGTGCGAATTGCCATAGTTCCGTGCAAGGTGCCCCTCCTTTTGTCCAGGCCAGTACTGGCCGAATTGGGAATGCAGTACGACCTCGCTGCACAGACAGCACGGCTCAACGAGCTTGGTTTGGAGAAAGTCAAATTGATGAACAGCCCAACCGGCCACCCAGCACTGGTTGTGAATGATTTTCGAGGCTTGAAGCCACCTCGCGTTGCCATTCCGGCAGCTGCAGAGGTGTATGTGCCGTCCGCTCGAGCATACAAGGGAGCGCGTGCAGAGCTGTGTCGACCTCTCTTTTACCCCAAGCCGTTGAACATCGAGGTTCAGAACATGTTAGCCGCTTCGGACATCTTTGGGGGCAACAGTTTTTTGTGTTGGTGGAGAGGGACAAACATCACCAAGGGCTTTTGGATAGAGACGGATTCCGAGTTCGTTCGAGTACATGTCACACCCCGTCGTGCATCGTTTCGGCCATCGTCATGGAGAACTCCACTCATTGGATTGAAAGATGCCCTTTTGAGTCGCATAGGAGGAGAACGGACCACTGAAGCTTTGCTGTGTTTGTCGGAGGGCACATTGGTACACGTTGACCACAGCCACTCGGAAACCGAAGTCACCATTTTGGATGGCCCATGGGTCGGACGCAGCCGCTTTAGCAAACTCAAAGAGGTCTTGACGACATCGGTTGCTGACGGCCACTCCAGCACCGTGAATGCCCTCCACAACCACCTCGCCATGGCACATGAAGAAAGCGCAGCTGCTGGCGGAATTGGAAGAGACGGGTGTGGTCGCACACTCATCATGGACAGTGCCGGAACTCCGATCCCTTCTGATCGAGCAACGGCAGGCAGCGGCACCTCCCAAGGAAGAGGACAAGCTGAAAGGCCTGAGCAAGATGACCTTGGCGCAACTCACGGAGGAAGCCAAGAAGGAGAACATCCCCATCCCAGCAAAGGCGACCAGAGGGCTCTGCGTCTGCTAAGAGAGTCAAAGAGCACGCCCTCGCAGACAGTAGTCCCGTTCGGTCGCTACAAGGGCTGGATGTACCACGAAGTTCCCATGCAGTGCATCGAATGAGCAATCCGGGAGACCAAGAGCAACCCGAACTCGCACGAGGATCTGGTTCGCCTGGCTTCGTGGGGGTCTCAACAGAAGGAGCGCCTGGCCGAGAGCAACGCCTACCCGAAGAAGACGGACCTGGGCCGATGGTGCCGCCTCCGCCAATCAAGGGAGAGGCCAGCAGCTCAGATGGGTCGTGGATCAGGGCATCGCCGCAATCCAAGGGCTCTCGCAACCCGGACCCGACACCGACATAGCGGACGATGTGCTCGAGGAACAGGCCCGTGGTGAAGAAGCGCTGATGGCCTACATCCTGGGGGAGGACGACCAGCTGAACAACCAGGTCCCGGTCATCATCTCGGACGATGAGGACAAGGATGGGGCAAGCGTGGGGGCATCAGGCGAGACTGAGTATAAGGTGGGAGCCATCAACATCGAGGACGACTCCAACGAGACGAGTGAGGGCACCGAGAATGGCACCACCAGTGGAAGCGAGGATGAAGCTTCCGAGAGGTCTCGAACACCGCCGCCGGATGAATCCCGCCGGAGAGCGGTTGAAGGTATGAGGCGACGGAGATTTCAATGCCGGAGCGCAAAGCAGAAGATCTATGACCAGGTGAGTCTTGGCCGTCTTCTCGTTGGCCATGGGAGCGTGGACACAGGAGGTGATGGGCGAGCCCGTGTGGGATGCATGGGCGGTGTTGCAGCCGCGACACCCTTTTCCGGAGCCTGACACAGCGGACTGCTTGGAGCTCTTCGCTGGACAGGCTAACATCTCATCCGCTTTCGCTCAACGACGTCGGGGCTTCAACCCAGAGATCTGAAATTCAACCACGACCTCAAACAGCCGGAGATGCAAGAGGAGATCATCAAATGGGACAAGTTGGTGGAGGACTATGGCATCTTCGACCACGAAGTCACGGGAAGCCATGGCAGCAACTTCTGATGCAAAGAACCAGCTGCGCAACCGCAGTGGGTACTCACCAAGACAGTGGGTGTTTGGAACCCAGATGAGGCTACAAGGCGATCTATTCGATCGACCCGAGGAGCTAGCGAGTTTGGAGGGCATCACCGTGGATGAGAAGTTGGGCAGGAGACACATGATCCGCATGGGAGCACGGGCCGCCTTCTTTCAATGCCAGAGCAAACAAGCTCCGGAGAGAGCCATAGCCCACAAAACGAGGGTGGAGGAGAGATCCTATCTATGACTACAGAGAGTACAAGGGCAAGACTCGTTGGCTTGGGCCTTGCACAGTCATTGGACGAGAGGGCAAAAACTATTGGCTCGCTCGCGGATGTCGATGTCTTTTGGGAGCTCCTGAACATCTCCGAACCGCGCGCCATGAGGAAGTCAGCGAGGCCTTGCGCATCAAGATGGCCATGCGAGAATTGAAGCAATTGATGGAGGAGGATCCTGGCAGAAGAGGTAGACGTGGTGAGACCGCCACCTTCGGGCCCTGTGGAAATGGAGGTGGAAGAGGAGGATCCAGTGGCCAACCGGGCACGAGCGATCCAATCAGCTGCTCGCAAGGCACACGTCTTAGATGACGTCCCGATCGCCATCAAGAAGAACAAGACACAGCCATCGCCGGCTGAACGTGTGCATCAGCCTTTCCTCACCAAGAGGGCGAACCCGGCGAAGGGCAAGGAGAAGCAGTTGGAGAAGGAACTTCCGTGGCATCTCATACCGCCCGAAGAGAGACCACTTTACCGAGAAGCTGAACTCAAACAATGGAAAGAGCATGAGGACTATGGCGCTGTTCGAGCCCTATCCATGGCAGAAAGTCATGGAGTGCAAGAAAAGGTCCCAGCTGAGAGAATCCTCAACGCCAGATTCCTCTACAAAGACAAGAACCACTCCAAGAGAAAGCTTGACAAGTCGCTGGGACCAAAGCCCAAAGCACGCCTTTGCATCGCTGGACAATATGATCCGGATTTGGGCCGAATAGAGATGTCAACCGATGCACCGACAGTCTCGAGATACTCCATCGTGCTGGCACTGCAAGTGGCTCTGGCTCGGGGGTGGCGAGTGTCCGTGGGCGACGTCCGAGCAGCTTTCCTTAATGGACTTCCGGCACCTCGGAACCTCTACTTCAAACAGCCCAAACGCGGCATCCCCTCCCTGCAACAAGGGCAGATCATTGAGGTGCTCAAGGGCGTCTTTGGACTGTCAACCTCACCAAAACTTTGGTGGATGAAGCTCTCGAGTGACCTCAAGGCCATGGAGATCCAAGCTGAGGGGCAGAAGCTGAGACTTATGCAGAACATCATGGACCCATGCCTGTTCATGCTGCAGGATGAAAAGGCCCAGATTCGAGGCCTTCTGCTGACCACGTGGATGACATCATGCTCATGACCGAACCCAAGATCCTCGAGGTCACGCAGAAGGAGATCAAGAACAAGTTCCCTGTGGATGAATGGGAACAAGATGACTTTGAGTATGTGGGATGTGAATATCACTGTGAAGAAGGACACATCACCATCAAGCAGAAGGGCTATGCAGGCAGCCGGGTGGAGAAGGTGGAAATTCCACCTCCTGAACAAAAAGAAGAAATCGAACAGTGATTGGATGCATCTCATGGCTGGCCAAGCAAACGAGGCCTGACTTGCAGTTCAGCGTCTGTCAGGCACAACGGAGACAGCAGGCACCTACGGTGGGAGACCTCAAGAACACCAACAAGTTGGTGGACGCCAGCCTCAAGTACATGGACAAAGGCCTGAAGCTCAACAAGATAAACGTTGAAGACATGTGCATCATCACGTACCACGACGCCGCATGGGGAAACGTTCCACCACATGACCAACAAGAAGAAGATGCAGCGTGGTACGGAGAGCGCACGATAGCTTCACAACTCGCCAACCTGGTGATCATAGCAGACCACAAATGCCTCACCCCTCAAAGGGGGCAAGTTCAGTATGGTTGATTGGAAGAGCAAAGCATCACATCGAGTGTGCAGGTCAACCTTTGCTGGCGAGACCATGGCAAGCTGTGAGGGATTCGAGAATAGCGTCTTCCTCAGGACGCTACTCCTGTCCATGATCACTGGACAGAGTTTCGCAGAACATGAAGCCGGACGACTCATGGACATCCACCTCATCACAGGCTGCCGCTCCTTGTACGACCGCGTGCACAGGGAGGGAATCCCAAGAGCTCCAAGCGAGAAACGACTCGCAATCGATCTCGCCGGGTTGAGGCAAGGTCTGATGATCGAAGCCCAGCACCAGTGGACGAAAGAAAATCCCGATGAAACCCGACCTTCGCCTCAGAAGCCGCTCAAGCCTCGGCTACACTGGCTGCGGACGGGGGACCAAATGTCAGACATCCTCACCAAGGCGATGAAGGCCAGCGACTGGTGGGTGCGCATGGAGGCCGAGACGCTCACGCTGCCGCTGAGAGGGCATGCACAACGCGCACTAGAGAAGACCGATTTTTGAACGTATGTGAAAGCAATGCATTCGTTCTCGGCATGTGCACCATGTAAAGTTGGAACCATTTGTTTGGACGCCATATAGGCACAAGAGTCCCCGTATGTTGTGAAAAGGTGCGCTGTTGTCATGGCATGTCGTATCGGCCGCTGAAGCACTTTGAGAGTATGTATATAAGTGGGAAAATCCAATGCACATTGCGAGTGATGTCAGATTCCCAGTTGTCGTGATTGATTTCCTGCTGGGTGGGCATTTGATCCGCGTGGTTTGGATCAACGTCGCCAGGAGAAACTCATTGGCAGCGAGTTGGAAGAGTTGACCTTCGCCAACCTGCGCAGCATGGAGCGGAGCTTCATCCATCGTGCGGCCCAGGCTGGGGCGGTCTTAGTCACCAAAGGCGTTGCCTGCCACAGCGGAGGCCTCATATCTTTCCTCGCACTGCTTCCGAAGCTTCCTGGTTTGCCTTTCATGCAATAATGTTGATGAGCTTAGCAGGTGCTATACGCGCAAAAAAACATCAAAAGCCGTGCTACACTCGTTGGCAGTCTCAAAGCAGCTTCGCCCACTTCTGGACATTACTAATTGGCGCTCGCAGCGTTCTCAGGAGCTGGGCCTCTTCAGTTGCTCTCAGGGCACCGGCCTGGGCCGTCAGCTGCTGGTGCGACGAACGCCCCAAGAGGACACTGACGCGTTGGAGGTGCCAGTGGAGGCTCCCGAGCCACCGGTGGTCCAGCGCAGTGAAGGTCCCAGAAGCCGCAAGCGGAGGGGAGTGCATTTGGTGGAGAAGAGCATGCCCTTCTAGGCTCTTCAACATGACGCGAGACCGTTAGACATCAATTGCTCAGGATGGAGGAGGTCAATGGCTGGTATGGCCTGCTGCCCTCACGTAGTCTCCGCCTAGATCCCGCTAGATCCCGCTAGTGCCTGGCTCCGCATCCAGTCTAGACATGACGCGCGCGTGTCCTTGGCGCTCAAAACCGCACCGGGTGTCGGGTTTTGGCGCTTCCCGCAGTCTGGACAGTGGAACTGTTGTGAGCTCCGTGTGGAAGTACGCAAGCTTGTCCTGTATACGTAAGCGCTGCACAACCCAGGCTCCTGGAATTTTCAGCTTGGAGAGGATTTTGTTTGAATGCAATGTACGTAAAGTGATTGCTTGTCACATTTTTGTCACTGTGGCCTGGGCTCCAGTCTTGGACGAGGGAACCATCAATTCGACGGCCGGCTAGCGGCGGTTAGCGCGGTCATGGCCCGGCGGTATGACAGCCGGACAACGACCTTCTCGCCAGAAGGGCGCCTTTACCAAGTGGAGCAGCTTGGTGAATGACTCATGAAGACATATGAAAACATACTCATGAACTGGTTGGAGACTAGTTGGAACTAGACAATCTGGTCGGTCTTCAGGTGATCCACGGAAATGGAGCTTTTGTGTGGGAATTGCGCTAGCTGATGAACATTTTGCAAGAACGGACAGTCATGAGCCTAGGAAACTGTACCTATATACATAATTTCATTGCTGGGCCTCGTGATTTTACGTTTAAACATGTTTAAACAAACTGTTTTTGGATAATTACCTCCCCTCTTGTCTGACGCGCAGGTATGCCATGGAGGCCATCAACTTAGCTGGTTCCACAGTGGGAGTGCTCGCAGAGGACGGGCAAGTAATCGATGGAAGGGTGGTGCAAGTGAGTACACCAGCGCGATTAATGTCGGTGTGAATTTGGCTTGGTTTCTCAGATGCCAGATGTACCTTGACATAGCATCCTGAACAATGCTTTGCTGGCATTTGTTGCGAGGATGGTGTGATCCTGGCAGGGGAGAAGAAGACCACCTCGAAGCTTTTGGATCAGGCCAAGCAACATGAGAAGCTCGCCCAGCCAGCTCAGAGCTCGCCGGAAAACGAACCAAACAACAGGATTCACACCAGGCCATGTGATGGCTGGCACAACCCACGCAATTCCGCCATTGAGCTATTGACGGGTGGTCATGGCCCATCAGTCAATCGGATACAGTATGTTCGAGACATGGGAATTCACGGGAAGTCACGATGTAGTCTAAGTAAAAAACCCATGTGCAATCTTGAAGAGGGCCATATGTTCGGGTCATATTGGCATGGGTGAATTGGGTGTTTGTTTGGGAATGTCGGGTGTGTTGCACACGGATGAGTTGCAACGAGGGATCTCACCCGTTCTCTTTCTGAGGAAGCTCTTCCAGCTCGATGACGCCATGTTCTGCGCTGTCGCGGGGATCACTTCGGAGCCTCAGACGGCAGTTCTCGGGTTGGTGGAGTGCTTCGGTCACTGAAAGCGCGCTGAAACTCCAGAAGAATCCTAGACCCAAGGTGAGTAGCCTGGCCAACAGCTGGGCCAGTTGGTCGACAAAACGGAGGTCACCTTTTTTGGTTCGCGGGCCCGGCCCCATTGGCGACACGCCGGGGCTAAATTAGGATTCACGTAGTTGGAAACAAGTCGACAGAATCTAGACGAAATATGGTGGGCTGCCGCCCATATGGAGCGGCTTGTGAGAGACAGAGATGGTGTATTAGAACAGAGCTCCACAGGACAAAGGAGCGCTGATGTGGCCTTGCCATTCTTCCGTGTGAGGACGCTAACATCCTCATCAACCGGCTGCGGCTGACAGCCCAGCAGCATACCTACAGCTTTTCAGAGCCCATGCCAGTGGAGCAACTGGTGACATCCATCTGTGATTACAAGCAGGGCAGCCTGTTAGCGCCAAAACACAAGGTCTTTTTTTTTTTGGGTGGGGGGGCTATGAAGACAGATTTGGAGTTAGCTGTGTGGTTTTGGTTTGGGGAGGTTTGAGGTGTGAGGTTGGGTGCTGTTTGAGGCTACACTCAGTTTGGCGGGCTTCGCCCCTTTGGCGTGTCCTTCCTGGTGGCTGGCTATGATGCACACCACGGCTTTCAGCTCTACCACACGGACCCATCGGGAAATTTCAGTGGTTGGAAGGGCTACGCCATTGGGGTGAACAACAACACAGCCGCTCGTTCTCACAAGAGGTGGGATGGATTTTGAGCAAATTCGTGGGACCACTACTAACCTCCAAAGCACAACATCCAACCCTCCCTTGTTTGCTTTGGAATCCTGCGGGGCCTCGATGACCTAGCATGACCCGAGGCTATGCAAATCATGCGGCAAGATTGGAAGCCTGGGATGAAGCTCCAGGAGGCGCTGGACCTGACGGCCAAGGTCTTGGTGAAGACCATGGACACGGCCTCCCCAACGGCCGTGCTCCGGCAGAGGGACAGTTTTGGGGAGACATGCCACTGGTTCCAGGGCCACGGCTTCCACACAGACACATCTGCTATAGGCGATGAGGTTGGAGGCCGTTGCCATTAGGTAAACAAAAACCCAGAGTTTCCGGATGCCTCGGCTACAGTGTTCCATGTTGGCAACTGGTCGATCTTTGAGAAAGTGGTTGGAGCCCTTGCTGTGTAGCTTTTTGTTTGGACGGTCAGTCAGTCAGTGAGATACGAATGGGCCTACAAGCAGTGCCCTTGCGATACTATCGTTTTGTTATACAAGTTGCTCCAAGTGGTGAATTGCCGTCCAACATCCGTTCACCTTGTCACTCGTGTGAAGACCTGAGGAAAGACTTGAGTTCGGCATTGTGTACAAGACGCCTGAGGGCCAGGTGAAGTTCCGAATGCTCAAAGACACCGAGATCAACAAGCTCATGGCGGACGCCACGCCGAAGGAAGGAGAAGAAGCAGCCGGAGCTGCTACATCCACCTCATAGAGAGAGCTTTGGCATGCTGAGTGAAAAGATTCCACTTGCGAGCGCTGCCCAGTTGATGATGTTGATGTTGTTTGCAGTGAGAAGTAAGAAGCGCAGTCGACGGGCTTTCTTGGATGCGCCTGCCTGGCTCCAAAGTGAAGATAGTTGGATCCCCGTGCGCTGGGAGACCTGCCCCAGCACTGAAAAGAACGTCCTCCGCCTCAGACTAGGCTTCTGGGTGTTTCACCTAGCTAGTAGCGATGCCCTTGTTACTACTAGCTTCTTGCTACTAGTATGCCCTAGCTACTAGTAGCGTCCTTGTTTCAGATCACCCTCCATGCATAGTTGTTCAATCACAGAAGCTACTACGTAGATTGCGTCTTCGCGCCAGTGCAATGTCATTGGATTGGTCACAGTCGCATGGCCCACGTCATAGAGAGTAGAGAGGTCCACAAGAACAAGCACAGAGATGGCACCAAGACCATCAACGGAGCCCTGGCGGCTTTGAGATCGCAAGACAATCGCTTGGGGTAAGAGAGCGTCAATCCCTCTGGCGGGTACTTGGTACGATGCCAACACCCTGCCCTAAGATGGTATGTGAACATGTGTGAGCCGTGCTTTTGGGGGGACCTTTTTTGCAATTGGCTCGGCTCCTGTGATTGCCAGAAGGCCGCTGATTGGATTGACATTAACCTGCGCTCTTTGATGAGTTTGTCTCACGCAGTGCGCCCATGGTTTGTGCTCACATGAAACATGAGGATCTTCCAAATCCCTGCCCGTCTGAGCTATCCTTTGGCACGTATTTCGTTTGAGACTTTTTGAGGCTTCCGGGTCTACAAAGATCGCTTGGGCGATGGGAACTTTGCAAAAGTGAAGCGTTGTGAGGAGGAGGAGACTGGAAGGACCTTCGCCATGAAGGCTCGCCTCAATCAATGGGCCGAGAGTAAAGATTCCACCTGATTCTTGGGTGTTGGCCTTCCACTGATTCTTGGGCGTTGGCCTTCCCAAACTAGAGTTTGCATTCAACATCCTTCTACATCCAACGTTGAGTCGTCGTGGTAGTCGTAATGGTGGTGGTGGTGGTGGTGGTGGTGGCGGTGAATCCTTGGTTTTGGGGAGAGCAGCGCCAAGAGTCAGGGCTTGGAATCAGTAGCCAGTGGCAGAGAGACCCTTGTGAGGCAGGTGTTGAATACTGAATTTTGAAATATGAAATTCGTGCCTGAGAGTCATGTGCTGCAACCCAGGAGTCTCCCTCACGAAACCCAAGCCTTTCCACCTATGTGACATGTCTTAGGTTCCCGCGATCCTTTGGATGCAAATTGAAGTCAACACACCCCGTGCAGTAACAAATTCATGTCTTGCCGTAGTGCTTGCACATACAAGTCTTGTCAATATATGACAGGTCCACGGTTGGTGGGTCAACGGATCCTTGTTCCTGGTCGCATGTTTTATGGCAACGCTCCACTGGAGGGTCGGGGTTGGTCGAAGATATTGGTCACTCCAAGTGTCCAGGTCTTCCGCAAGCTGCCCCTGCGGCGGCAGCGCGAGTTCATGCGCTCGGGCGAGGGAATGACGGTCCGCACCCACCTGGACAAAGTCTATGGGGAGCTGGAATTGAGCCTGGGTTGGGGAGTCTTGTTGTTCGGTGGACCCTACATAACGCGTACTAGACTGAAGAGTCTGGAACCAGCCTGTGGTGGTTGTTGTTGTAGTTGTTGTTGTTAATGAGTTGATCAAGGAATGCAATCCAAGGGGTTGGCTGGCTGGGGTGTGAGGGTGCTTGATTCGACCTGCAGAGTGGTGGTAACAAATTGCTGGTACTGCAATGCTTCGCATCTAAATTTCACAACTCGATCGCCATGCGCACACTTCATCGAAGAGGCTATTCTGCAAGCCTCAACCTACTTTGCGGCGTGCGCCCAGGATGAAGGGCATTACTCACCCGGGCTGTGTTCGACTCTACGCCATTTTTGATGAAGCTCATCAGAATGGCAAGATCTACGCGGTCCTGGAGAATCCTGGTTGCGCTTCACAGCCAGTTTTTTAGATGGTGCGCTTACAATTCATCAGCAGAGACCCAAGACTGAGACAGTTCCTGCCTCACCACCGCGGCATCATCGACGTGCCCGGACGCTGAGGCACGTGCCGGGTGGACAAGTCATGGACTGGGACGAGGTCAAGTGCCGCTTTTTTGCAGTGGGCATGGCGGCGCAAGAGGCGGATGCCTCAGGGCTCATCCCAGAGGAGAAGATGAAGGTCTACCTCTCGGATCTCTTGCATCCTGCGCCGCAACAGGTGGTCAGGGTGTGATGTTTTCTGGGAGGATGTGTAAATTAGTACTGTATGTAATATTATGTAATTAGTTTGCGGGTGTGGATGGTGCGTTTGTCTGCATCCACCTGGTATTGTGAGAGAGTGCATTGAACTTGGTCAGGAAAGTGTGTGCGTTATTTCTTTTGGGAGTTTCACGCGCCATGGCAAGTAAGCAAGATCTTGGATGGGGCCATCGAAATGGACACACCGTGACTGTATCACGTGACATCTTACAAGAAACGTCTCACAAATAGAACCTCCTTGTTCACTTTGCGCAAACTCAACCGTGACGTCACAAAACGAGGCAAGGACGCACCAGATGGCAAACAGGAACAAACGTCAAGCTCGGGGACTGCTGCATGTCTTGCGGCCAATTTCGCCAGGGAGGATGTTTGTTATTAGGTGTAGCTTATGATGCCATGACAGCTTGCGTCTGAGGGAAGCCCTGAGCTATTTGCATGCTGTGGCGATGGTGGCCCACAGGGACGTCAAGCCCCAGAACTTGCTTTTAGGCCCGGCCCTTGGGATTGACGCAAGGAGGGAGCTTGGTTTGGGGATGCCTTTGGCCTTTATGCTTTCAGGTGTGGTCTGCTCTTCATTCATGGTGATGTCAGACAATATCTCAGATTTTGGCGAATTCCGATGCAACCTGTTGGGAGTCCATTCTCATTCAAGTGAACTGGTGGTTTGGACCCCGGAACAAATCTCATGGAGACTCGACCCCTTTCGTTTTGTGCATCTCGACCCCGTGTGCTTTGAGCCAGATGGAAGCTCCACCTTGAAGCTGGGCGATTTCGGTGTGGCTGCCAAGTGCCTCAGCTGCCAGCAAGGGGACAGACTGACCCCGGTTCTGCAGGTAGACTCGAGACGCCTGCAACCTATGGCAGGACAAGATGACCATTCATTTCTATTCCTTGTTGAGCTCCCTCAGCTTTTCTGTAGCATAGTTGGTGCGGAGCCTGACCTGATTGATCACCACATGCCATCCCCCTTTCTCCAATTTGGTCGGTCTTTTCTCCTGGCATATGCCATGTGCCAAGAACTGTGGGAATCCTTCGGCTCCGAATGATCTCTTTTTTGGCTGCCAAGCACTACCCTTCAGCTCTGTGCAGACGCAACTTCACAACACCCCGGTCTTCTATCTGAAGCCGTTTGCGGAAGACGAAGGTACCACACGCACACAAGCTGTTCTGTAGGGTAACGGACTTTGTTGGACAGTGTTTGTCTTGGTCTTCCACTGACCTCACCTGTGGGGAAGTGCACCTGACCCTTGCAAATGCGAAACATGTATTGCGCACTGGATGGGATGACATTGGAACGTTCCTTGAAATGTATGAGTTGCCTCGAGGTAGGAGTTCTGTGGGTTGGCTTTGTTCCAGCACGAATCTTGCATCAAAGTCAAATCAAAGTTGATTTCCTGCCCCTTGTCACCACAAATGCATGATGCATGTGTCCACCAAGGATGGATGAAGACCACCTGGTGCACGGCACCGAGGGGACCTACCCGTTCTTTTCCCCGGAGATGTGCCAGACTGGCTACGTGGGCCATGATGGGCGGAAGGCAGACATGTGGGCAACAGGCGTTTGTGTTTGGGCCTTCCTCCTCGGCACCCTGCCCTTCCATCATGAGGACGGGAGGGGCCATCCCTGGTGTGGTGGATGATCGGTCCGGACCGGTTCCGTTCAGGTTTCAGAGTTGGGGGCCAGTTTCACACAAGCGCCCGGACAATTGGATATTGCTTTCCTATGCTTTGCTTATTTATAGAGGAAGCTTTTTGGCATTACTTAGCTGAGGTTGAGGTGAGCCCCCCTTAGCAATTCTTTGCAACAGGTGCAGGTGCAGATACATACGCATGCGAACAGCCTCGGTGACTCACCCTCAGGTTAAAACCATATCATATGCATCAACAACCCCGCTTCATTGGAGGACCTGGCTGCACTCATGGATGCCATCGCTTTTGGGGAGGTGGAACTGCCTGAAGGTGCCTTCCCTGGTGAATTTATGACATGGTGAGATGCATGGAATCGAAAGGCTAGCGTAGCACTTCTCATAATGGCCGGAGAAAGCAGCAACACTGGACTGTTTTTTTGAGCAACTTGTGGCTCTGTCAGTCTAATGACTCTAATGTCTGAAGCACAATTGACCCAGATCCTCTAGAGAATTCCGCCCCCTAGACGTGGTTCCTACTTGGTCTAGTGCTGCCCAGAGCGCTTTATTGACTGCTTTTCCTCGCTGCCTTATCGGAGGTAACACCTTGTCTGAAGACAGCCGCCGACTGCTCAAATGGTTGCTGTGCAAGGACAGCACGCCGGGCTCCGACGTGGGACATGGATGTCGACGCTGAGGCATGTGTTGCATATGATTGTACATGCACTGGCACGCATCAGTTTTGGTTTTGGAACGGGGGGGGCACGGGAGTTTGACTCCGCACCAGCGTGCAGGATCCTGCTGCACGGCCTTTGAGCGAAGCGGTGCTCCTGGATGCAATGCTAGGCCAGGCGAAGAGACGACAGGGAAGAAGAAATTATTTCAATTCAGGGATGGGATTACTCTATTAATGGCCAGAGTTGCTTCCGCATGCCTCAGCCAGAGAGAGATGTCAAATGCGTGTTTCTGGGATGGACATGTTTTCGTTTGTTTGGGACCACTGCACTTTGATGATTCTATTTATATACGGCTTAATAAGCTACTAGGAACAAGTGCATCGCTACTAGTAACAAGTGCCTTACTAGTAGTAACAAGAAGCTATTAGAATTACTACTATATGTGTATATATATATTTTTATATATTCTATTTATATATTCTATGTGCGCGCTTGGTAATCTCCCACCCAGCCTAGAACAGGCCCACCCAGACGCTCCTCGCTGCCAGAGGTGGAGCCCAGAGCCCTCACGGACCACTCCCTGCGTTGAGAAAAAGCGAGCGCTTCAAACCGTTTGGTTGGAGCAGGTCGGGTCAGTGTGGGAAGTAAGACTGTTGCACGACAATCCAGTAATTATAAATATAACTATATATAAATAAATATATAAGTTTTTCATATGAAGTGACGCCCAACACAGTGTCCTTCAAGAGCTGTTGGCGCCGAGGGACGCGGGTTCGGTGCTATTGTGATGCTGGTTTGTGAGGGATGCCGATGGTCAACACTCCGATCTCATTTTCTCACTTGTTCTTTCCCTCTCTTCGGTCAAGTGCAATATTCTTCCAACAAGGGGATTTTCATGGGTTTGACGGCTAATGTTCCAGAGAAAAGATATGGAAGCACATAGTCTTTCACGGCTGCACCCAGAATCGATTCAAAGACGACCTGAAGGCGAAGAGGTACACTTAACACCTTCCGCCCAGTGCCAATCTCCCAGTTTCACTTGAATACTTGGGCCCAAGGCGGAAGGCAGAAACTCCAGAAGAGGCACAAGGGAGTGCAGCAGTCCTAACATGTCCTAACAAGGTGCAGATGGAATTCAGAGCCCCTACTCACCAGAGGGAAGATAAGGTTGACATCAACAGTTCTGGCGGAAATAGCATGAGGGGCCGTGGCAACGCACTGGAACCAACAGAACAGAAATTGCGATCAGCAGTGTAGGCCTGTCAAAGGTTGCATTGCATCACGTATTTCTCCACCTGTCAGGTTGAGCTGCTCCGGCTAGGCCTTGCACAGATCGGCAAGTGACGGCAAAGTAGGATAAGTAGGCCTTATTGGCAAAGTGCGGGCCTGCAGAGGCCTACCCAGCATTTGATTGGAAGGATCGTCAGAGGCGTGCAAGAGGTTGAAGGATGCATTGGATGGGGGGAGCAGTAGATAAAAAGAAGAGAACCAGCTGATAGCTTGTTCAGTGCAGAACTGGCGATCGCACTTGTGCACCCCAAATCTACGGCCTGGGTGGTCTGGGCGTTCCTGTTTTCCAACCTGCTGATCAGTGGAACTGCAGCCACCAAAAGTTAAAACTCCTGGTGTGTGCTTGCCGCTCTCCTTGTGCCTGTGCCTAGGCCCAAAGCTAGAGGTCACGAGCCACTGAGCACGGCAAGCATGAGACAGTCTCAGCGCGCTCTCTCTCTCTCTCTCTCACAATTGCTTTGAAACTCTATACCATCCCCGCTTGAAAGCCTAGTGGAAGCAGCATGACGATTCCTGGCCTAAGTGGCACAAACACTGAGACACGAAGCTTGGTGGGATTTACCCCTGCCTTTGCAAGACCCCAAGATGCCCGATTCCTAGCTCAGAGACAATTTGGTTCAAATTTTGGGTCTCCTACCCTGACAGGCTTTTACTTATACAGCGGAGACGGGGTGGAAAAGGAAACGCGCTTTGGATGCGATTCATGCGGCTGACTGCTCCCTTGCGCTTGTGGGTGCTGCTGACCTTGGGGACTGTCAGGTCGAAGCCTGAGTGCTTGGAGTGCTTGGTGCAATGTTCCCGAGAACTGGCGAGTCACACGTCCCTAGCGCCGTCACGGCCGTCACGGCGGCACAGCCGCCGAGTGGGCTGAGTGGGCCGGCGGTGTTTCACGGTCCGAGGAAGACGGGGACGCTGCACTGCAACCGCCGTGCACGACCCGTCGCGATGCTTCGCGATAACGGTCCGAGGTGCTGGACCCCTGGCCGAAGAGGCGCGGCTGTGCTGCTGCGCCCACGGCTGCCCTTCACTGTCGATGCATCAGACTTGTGTTTTTCGCCCAGAAACTAACAGGGAGAGGTGCTGGTAGAGACTATTCCTCAATTGGCGAAGGGCCCTATTCATATGGGAGGTACACATGTTCGTTTCTGTGGCGACTCAACATGAAACCACCTTTTCCACGACCGCCTGCCCCTTCTGCCGTGAGCAGGAGCCCCCGCGCCCATCGCACCCCGGCACTTGGCCCTGCGAGCGGTGCGGGTGAACTATGACCTGGCACCCTGGCCGTTGGCCAACACGCGTTTCATGCGACCGTGAGGAAACGCGTGGTTCCTTCACAAGTCACTAAGCGAAACTGTTCTTGTGGGGTACGGTATTTATATATATATATACATATAGTTACTTAGTCCCACCATGTGGCACAATCAAGGACAGGAAGTTTTACAAACCTCATTCATAGCTCCCCAGCCACTTAGTGGACAAGTTGATAGTCAGGTCAGGTCAATTCTTTCGACAGGCATCATTTAGCCAGAGTTCTTGCTTCTCGGTAGTTTATGTTTGGATTGGCTCTTTTGCGCATTAAATGCTGCCTTTCTGCATTGTCTCAAGCTGAGAGCTCTTGCAAGAAGCTATTTGTGTAGGGAACTTGGCAAGCGAAAGGGAGGTTTGGCCGAGCGTTTCTTCAGCCCACTTGGCTGGATGGGTTTGATGTTTCAAGACATCAAGCCCTGACATGCATGATGCAAAGATGGACAGCACTACAGCAATTGATGGAACCTTGTTCTTTAGATTCTGTTGCTTATTCCAGTGTTGTTTGTGCTCAGTTCTCAGGATGCAGACGCCTCAAAGGCTGCTGTTGGCTCCGACCGCGCCAACACCTGGGAATGGAGCACCAACAGCGCCGACAATGCAGCCTTCGAGCAGGTGGAGAACGCAATCCTCAGAACCAATCGCTGTTCTAGCTGTTTGAGCTGAGTCATAGCTGTCATAGCTCCCTTCTTTCTGTTCCAGACTTGGCCCAAGCCAGGTGTATGTTACAATATATGTGGCAATGATGATGGTCCTGAGAAAAAAAAAGCAAAAAGAAGAAGGCAAAGAAAGACAGTGAATCCGACTGACCAATGGGTGGCCGGGTGGCAGTTAGAACTACATAGCCTGTAGCGATGGACCTGCGAATTTACACTCACTGATGGCTGGCAGAAAAAGACAAGTGAGGCAGAATTGCATTTTCTCAAGCTGTTTTGCAACATGTCCTCCTACATGGAAGCTTACATAGCCTAGACACATCTACGGGAAATACCCCACTTCAACACCAAAACAAACATAGTTCACAACATTAACCTGACCCTATACGGCTTGTATGAACAGATATAGAAGGGAATAACTGATATAAGTTATTGGTGTTTCTTTGTTTCCTAGATGAGAATCGATGTTCGATGCTGAATGATCCTCACCACATGTTCGTGGCATCACCACAGGAGCGGCTGATGGAGTACATCTGGGCTCGGCCCTGGGAGATCTTACAGCGCCTGGCCTCGACACTGTGGATCGCCTGTGGAATCTGGCTTGCCTGGCGGGAGCGTCCCAAGGACGGAGAGAGCAAAGCTAGGCACCGCCCAGGTGGAGAGAGGATCGTCAAATGTAGCGGGCTTCTCAAGATCGGCGCGGAGGAGCCTGTGCTCCACCTAAAAGGTGCCGGTTAGGGTGAGACGTTACTATTTAAGGCTCAATTCTGAACGGCAAAAAAAGAACGTGTCCTTTTGCCTTTGAACACCGATCCATTTGCGGCAGGACACGCCCGTTCCCACGCTGACCGGCTCGCTGGCGCGGAAGGCGCCGACGACGGCGCGCGGCGAGGCCTTGCGGCGCGGCCTGCAGAAGATGGGCGTCTTCTTTGTGAAGATTGGGCAGACGGCGGCTCAACGGCCGGACATCGTCGGGGACGAGGTGCGGAGGGGGATTGGATCTGCCGGGATTGAGCTGGTTCTGGTTCCCAGGGTGGACCTAGCGGGTGTTGAACGAATAGCATTCCACCAAGGAAGGCATGCGACTGTCGTTTGTGCAGTGAGGTGAGCTACTGAAACTGTAATCAATTGCGAGATATTCTTGCCACGGTTATGCCGCGCTTCAATCGCGGTTGAATCCCCACCCGCTCTGTTTGCAGAGTCGGGAAAAGCCTCCTTAGATCCATCATGGAAACGACTTGTCTCGAACTTCCTTTTCTCAAGGTGGCAGAGGAGCTGAAGGGTCTGCAGGAACAAAGTACTCCCTTCAGCGATGAGTTGGCGCTGCAAATCCTAGCGGAGGACGCTGATCAAGCTGGAGCACACGTATATGTATATGTATAATTATGTGTATATAATATATATATATAATATACGTAGCACACATAGCTTTATTTATTGTGTTATCGTTCCAAGGTTTTTGATTCGGGGCTTGCTAGGAGTGAAACGGAAAAGGTTTATTTATTTGGCGTGTTTGGTCACCCATAGCGTACAGTAGCAACATAGGGTGGTGCATACCTCTGGTTGCATGATTTCTAACTAGTAACAAGGGGCATCGCCACTAGGAGCAAGAACGCCTCTATATAGTAGCTCCTGGCCGTACTACTAGGAGCAATGTTCGCTACTAGCAAAGGGCATCGCTACTGGTACGCCTTGCCTTTGACCCGATGTTTTGCCCCCAAAGGATTTGGGACACACCGGCCCACTGGCTCCGGGTGTCGTGGCCAAGAATTGCCATTCAGATGGTCCGCCCCTGCTGAAGGAGCTGCGCAACTGCCATTCTGCAAGAGTTTTTGTTTGTTATTCTGCAATTTTTGCTGAATTAGGAGTTAATTAGGACAGGGAGTCAGGGAAAAGATCCTGAGGTTGCTAGAGCATGCCGGCGGTGAAAGCAGAACCCAACCCAGTGGTTTCATGTGTGGGCATCGAAGCAAAGGCTCTCCCTCTTCTTCACTCTGAGCCGAAACTTTCACAGAGGAAGAGGATAGAGTTTCGCATGTCATGGCCATGCATTGAGGTTTTGAGCTCATCAGAATCTCAGGTTGAATCCCAAGTTTGTGGCCTCCGCCTCTCTGGGTCAAGTCTACCGCGGGCGCATGCATGATGGACGGGAAGTGGCGCTGAAAGTGCAGCGACCTGGGGTGCGGGACGTCTTGGGGCTGGACTGGGCAGTAGCCACTGTGGTCTCGAGAGCCCTGGCTGAAGATGGTTGCAGTTCACTCAGAAAGAATCATTGCGAGCGCCATCAGCGTCTCTTCTGACTCTAGTTGCACACGTGGCGCACACACTCACGCAAACCGGCATGATGACCGTAACGGGTGCACAGTGATTCACAATGGGGGGACAAAAAAAGACAGAGAGAGAGAGAGAGACAGAGAGCTAGGCGCGGGTGTTCTCAGTGGCTCCCCACATGCCCCATATGTGGCCTGGTATCATGTTCTTCCTGGATCGGGCCGAGGAGGCTACCAGAAGATCTTGGGATCTCCAAACGACTATGGCCAGGTGGTCGATACTGTGGCTCGGGGTGTCCGGATGGAGCTCGATTACTACAACGAGGTGGGGCAGTTTTCACCGCAGAAACGCCCGCAGAAACGGTCCCCCACGAATTCAATCGCAATGAAACGCCGGTGGGTTGGAAGTCCCCATCGTAGTGTAGATGCATGGACTTTCCCCAAGTGGTGAAACGATGTGAAACGTAGTGATGCCGAAGCCGGCATGAAGCCTTCGCCAGGCCGCTAATGCTGAAGAGTTCGCACAGCGCCATGCCTTCCTGCCCTATGTCACCTCGCCGGGGTGGATCCCGGAGCTGATGGGGCCCAGACAAACCTCTCGCGTACCCTGGTCTAGCCACCACTTAATGCTCTTTGTTGGGTCTTTGATGTTTCAAGATGTTTTAAGTCAAGTTTTTAGCTGCAGCATGATTAGTCATTATTATATAGTCTAGCTGGCCATCGTGCTGCCATTCTTGGGCTGAACTCAAGCATGGCACGGCTCATGGTCGTAATGAACAGCGCTGTTCACAGCCAGACGGGTAATAACTGTTTGTCATGCCGG